CAACCAGGAGAGAGAAGGGAACAATATAGGGCAATCGTTGAACGTCCGCTTTTAGTTTGATTAAAATTTACTTTCCCCCGTCCATTGTTCCCAACGTTGAATCGTTCAATATTTATTTTTATTCCTATCACGATCCCTGCGCCGCCTGCCTATTTTAATTCCTACGTATGAAATTCGCCGACGTAATTTTGCGATCGCGCGTGACCCGACATACGAAATCAACGATGACTCAGAAAAATATGAGGAAATACTTCAATCATTACGCTGAATATTAAAAAGAGCAATAACTATGTGAAAAAAGGAAAGATAAGAAATAAATTAAATACGAATTATATGTTGTATAATGAATTGATAATGAAAAAAGGAATAAATATTTAAATAATGAATTCGAACAAGTCTCAAGATCATATTAAAATCAGTTATTATTAGCCATTAAAAAAAAAAAATCAAGTTGACTTTTTTGTTTTTTATTGATAAAAAGAATTTTTTTACAAATTTATAACACGCAATAGTGTTAAATTCAATTTATTCGAAACGAATTTCGAAATCAATCAATCTCTTTCCATTTAAGAAAATAATGATCTTTACATTTGTCCGTTGAAAAAAAAAAAAACACTTTTTTCACATTTTGAACACAGCAATTTGTTTTCCTATGTTCTCCTCCTAAATTTTGAAATTTACCAATTTTTTCTCAAACTATTAGAAAATGCTACAATTTATAAAATATTGTAAAAATACTTTCAAAAATACTTAAGAATGACATAACGTAATAATTAATAATTACGTTTCAACTTTCAGGAATCGTGTTCAACGTGACACGTTACATGGATTTCCATCCAGGAGGTATAAGCGAATTGATGAGAGGGGTCGGCAAAGACGCGACCAAACTGTTCGAAAGCGTGAGTCCAATCAATATCCAATCCATTAACGATCAACGATCACAATCTCTCGTTCGATCGACCATTATTTTTACGTACCCATAGATCGTCCGTTGCAGGTGCACGCTTGGGTCAACTATCAGAGCATCCTTCAGAAATGCGTGGTGGGAAGGCTGAGCCGTGGCTCGATGACCGGTTCCTCCTCGTCCTCGATGGAAAACCCTGTCTCGGCCACCACCAATTGTTCATCGACGGCGCAGAACCTGATAACGACAAGTTGCACGAGTGAGTAGAGAAAGAGGACCACCTACTCATTGTGTCATTCGTTGCGATAAACGAGAATGTCCGGAGAAAGACGGAGGACCATTCTTTCTATGGTGTATTGTATCAATACGAGAAAAGAGAGAAAGAGAGAGAGAGAGAGAGAGAGAAAAGGAATTGTCGGCTTTTAAAATGATTTTATATATAGGAAATAGATGTAGCAAAAAAAGGTCGATAAAGATTCGTGAACTTTATTGAATTCGTTAGAATATATAAATGAATGCATGTATGTTGATGATGTTGATTGAAGAAATAATGATAGTTTAGTTGTGATGAATGTTGCAAATTTGAAAAAGAATCTGAAATGTTCAACGAAAATGAATTATTATGAATATTAGTTTCACGATTTACGATTTGGAGTTACAAAGTTTATGTAGAAATCACGAGTTGCATTATCATTGATTGCTTGATTGTTATTCAGAGATAATACTATTTAACATTCTATTTTTATGTTTTATGCCATTTTTATGTTGAATGAATGTGAATGTTGACAGATACGAGTTATCGAATGTAATATTTATAAGTAATTAATGGAAGGAAAAAATGAATATTCGGCTTTTAAGTGATTGAATATCATTTGGAAATATTGAAAAATATAAGTTTAATATCGAATGTAATGTTTGTGATTGGTTATGTATAAAATTAATGGAGGAAAAAAAAAATAGATATTCGTAAATCTTTAAAATGATTTTATGACATATATTGAGATCTAATGTTGAGAGATATGAATTTTCAGATGCAATGTTGTGATTTACTGAATAGATTTAAAAATTCAGAAATTTCTTTTTTTTAAAGATTGAGTAATATGTACTGAAGAATTAAAAGATCAAGAAAGTTGAAATTTGAAAAGAATAGAAAAAGAGAAAAGATTTTCTGTTTCTATTTAAATTTAGTAATTTGAATTTTTGTCTTGTTGGAATTTATGTGTAGAAAAATAATAAAATATTAATACTGATATTATAAAAAAAAAAGAAAAAAAAGAATTCAAAGATATTTTGAAAACTAAAAGATATAAATTTTTAGCTCATAGTACCAGTCAAGAAAACGTGTCAGACGGTGATTTGTCGAATATAAAAATGGATTGGAGGCAGACATCCAACACGATCACGTTATTTTACCAAACTGTTCGAGATTATCCTGGTGTGAGCTATCAATTAAGTAGGATAAGCGACTCGAAGTTGATATTCAAATTATTTTTCGAGAAGGACATAATAACGCATCAGCTGGAACTGACAGCGGAAATAAAATGGCCGCCGATGTGCACCAAAAATTTCGACACGATGGAGGTGATGTATTTTTCAATTCCATTTTGTTAAATAAGAACTTAACATTTAAAATAAATAATTCAATTTTACTTCTTTCCTTTGTAGGTCGATTTTACATTTACGAAACAGAAGAAAGAGATATGGAAATCTCAAGGTAGTCAAACGATATCCAGGGAGACAAATACGAATAATCGAATTTACAAAGAATACGAAGTTGTTACGAATAAACCTCTTTCCAAATTAGTTCACCTATTGGTCGTTCGAGCGAAAAACTTTTTGCAAATGGTGCCCATTGGCAGACACGTAGAAGCCAAGATGAACGTCATGGGTACATATTTGTTCCTTCCATTAGCTTTTCTCTGTCATCAAAGATTTCTTAATTGTGATTCATAATTCATTGATTCGTTGATTATATAATAATCAACGAATAAACTTCAGAAAAATAATGCATATTAAATAAGTGTTTACTAAGAATATTATTAAATTTCAAATTTGCATATTCTAATAGTTTGTATATTATCATAAGACGTACTTTTAATTTTATAAGAACTTGATTGAAAATTTATTTATTCTTTGAATATCAATTAAGAAGGTTAATAATTAACTTGAAATCAAAATAAATTTCAATATTTTCACTTTGTTTCTATCATATTAAATTTTTTATATTTAACTTTTTTATATTTAAACTTTTCATTCCATGGATAAAATTACTAAATATTTTTATTTCAGGGATGGAAGTATCACGATCGTACACGCCTGTCTCACCGTGCCTTCACCCTGACGACATAGCGCCGAATTACAAATCCGATTGTCTGTGTTTAATGATCAAAAGATATCCCCAAGGTGCTCTCAGTCCGTCCATAACCGCTCTTCAGATTGGCCAAACCTTCCTCTTGAGCAATGCTTTAGGTGCCTTTGTAATAGAATCCTTCGATCGTTATTCTGTCATTCACATGCTCGCGGGTGGCACCGGTTTGACAGCGATGCTTGGCATCATTCAACGAGCTTTGGCCAGACGCAGCGTGTCAGTATCTCCTTCGAATCATTATTCGATATTTATAGAGTTTGTTATACAAGGTGTACCGGATAAAAATGGATATCTTGCATGCCAAAATATGTATTTATCGAAAGTATAGAATTATGAGAAAAATTTGTCGAATAGAAATTTTTTGATGAAGAAGTATCATCACGCGATATGAAATATGTAATATTTATTGAAAGCATTCGTGATAGTAGATTTTATTGAATCATCTAGTACAGCTCATTTGTTTGAATCATGTGGCGATGAAAGTTTGTGCATGAAAGATTTTTGGCATGGTCGAACCTATATCTCTTGAAATTGTACTAAATCTGGCATAGCGTGATATGTTCTGCGAAATTGCAAGTAGTTTGTTAGATTTATAGACCACTTGTTGGATTATAGATCGCCAATGTTAATTTATCACAGTTTTCACCAACTTTGTTTGATTTAATAATCTTTTTTCTATTTTGAAATTTTTTCAGGAAGACTATAAATTTACTTAACTTCAATAAAAATGAAGATAGTATGTTTTACGTGGCGGAGTTAGAAAAGGCTAGTGCAGATAAAAAGTAGGTATTTATTAATTTATTATTTCTCGTAATTTTGTATTTCATTTTTTGAATGAAATAATGACACGTTTCAGATTAAAAGTCACACATATCCTTTCGCAAGCCGAAAGCACATGGACGGGTAGACGTGGCACGATATCCGATGATTTATTAAAGGAATTAGTCGCAGAAACTTCCCCTGACGCGTGTGTTTTTACCTGTGGACCTCCAGGATTCATACAATCCGCGAAAAAGTAAATGAAAATGATTCAACATCCTTATTTCTCTTCGACTTTCTGATTTATAATTAAAATTTTGAAATATTATCTTTTAGATCTCTTCAAAAACTTGACTGGAAACCCTACCAAATGTACGAATTTGACGATTAAGTGCACTCATCGAGAATATATCTCTCTCTTTTGATACCAAATGTCGAAACATTTAACGCATGATGGAAACATTGGTATTCTTTGAGAAAAATAATTACGTATCATGTTGTCGAATTTTTAAAAAGAATCTTTTGGATACTTTTACTCCTATTTCCGCCCACAGCCTCAGTATCGTGCATGTGAGTTCATTCATAGAAATGAATTTCGAATATATTAAACATTTTGAAAAGTGAGCAAATTTTATTTCAAAAATTATTATATATATATATTTTATGTATATTTAATATGAATATAATTTTATTAAAATTTACATATTGAATATCAGAAGAAATTCATGTTTTTTTTTTTCTTTTATAGAACTGATGTCTTCCTTTTGTGTAATTTCTTCGTTTTAATTTTGTTAAATTACAAGATTATGCCAAATGCGCAACAATTGAGAAATAAAGTTCTATTTAATGCAAATGCTCACTTTTTGTATTATATTTACAAAATTCGAAAAAAAAAAGAGAAAAACGAGAAAAATAAATAAGAAAAAAAATAGGAGTAAGAGTCACAGATGAAAGTCTTTGGATTCTATGGGACGAACTGTGTGTATAAGCGTCCATGAATGTACTTTCTATATGAAAACAAATTATTTTTACAAATGTCTTTTAATCTATCATCCAGAGAACTGTATTTTGAACGATTTATCCGAAAATATTCACAAATATCTTCGGACGTAAACCAATTCGAAACGATCATGGTGCTATTTTTTAATCCCTTCGTGCTCGATTTTACGTATAAGATACATTCACATACTTGATACTTTAATAGTGGAACTATCAAATCCATTAAAAGATAAAAATATAATTATATATATATATAAAGAAACAAAAAAAAAATTAGATCATGAAATGGTTAAATAAATATATATTTCTTAATTATATTCGAGAAAACTTATCTTTATTCATTCTTTACGAAAAAGGTAAAGATTAAAGATATTTAATTTCTATGTAAAAAATTAGAATGATAATTAAAAAAAATTCCTTTCCTTTTGAAATAAATTGTGTGCCAAAGAGAGGCCTTAGAACTCTGAATGAATTCATGTAACCAATAATATGGCCTAATCACGATATTAAGTCTTATTAATCATTTATTAGATCTTAATTGATTTAAAATTTATAGACAGGTAAAAAAATATCAATAATAATTCATTAAAATTTTTAATTTGATCGAATATCAATACAACACAAATAATATTGTTCAATACTTTTAACTGAATCTATCTAGTTTCTATTCTAGTTTCTAAAAATAACTTTATAAAATAATTTCTAAATTTCGATCTTCGATCTTCGATGATCTACAAAAATTAAAAAAAAAATATTTAAATTCTCAGGTGTGTGTCCAGGTGAATTTAAGACCTAATAAATGGCTAAGATCTAACATAGAAATATTTTAAAATTAACATAGCACAAGTATCAGAATTATAATTCTTCGATCCTTACCTGTAATGCTACGAGAATTAAAATGGTATGATAGAAATGATAGACAAGAAATCCTTGAAGAATTTTTATCGATGAAGTTTCGTCAGATTTGACCATGTAAAATGGAAATTGATGTTAGAAAGAGAAAAGTACTTATATATTTCAATGTTGGAAAGCGATGCGGATAGTTTTATTCAAGCATATTCGAGTACGGACCACTTTCTGCATTTACGTACATGTTAAATACGCCTATATATATGTATATGTGTGTACATAGTTGTTATCAGAAATAAATGAATATTTGATGGCTATTTGTCATTCTGCGCCTTCTCGTATTTTCTTCTCTTAATTTCCTTTGAAAATTTTCGAAGATATTTTTTTATATATTATTTGGGATCTAAAATTTCATATTTAAAAGTTTTGTGACATTTTTATTTACGAGAAAAGTTTGCCAAGTCGAAAATTTGAAAAGTTTGGAACTTCACAGGTGACGCTGGTGAAGAAGTAATTTCCATGTTTTGAAAAGAAAACTATTCATAAGGGTGAGAACATTTTTTAAAAGAAACGAAGTTTTCATATTATCGTGAATATTTAAGAAAAAAGAAGAATCCAAAAAAAAGGATTAATTAATAAAATTAAAAAAAAAAAATAAAATTGCCTGGTTTTTGATATAAAAAGAATTTAAAAATTTTTTAAAAATATTTTTAAAAATTTATCATTGTGAAGTTATCTTTGTGAAGTTTTATTTTTTGATGATACTAAAATACATATGATTATAAAAGAGTACTTGTCAAAATATAAAAAAATAATGCTGCAAAATTAAAAATGATTAAATTATGAACAAATATATATATATATATTTTCTGAAAATTTTTTCTTGAAAATGAAAATTTAAGAGTTAAAATTCAGAATAAATTACGTTATTTGCAATGTAAAACGTATTTACAATTTCATAGAATTAAATGGGCATGTGAATAAATATTCAAGAAGCACAATGGATTCTTGACTATATTTACAATGTAATATTTAAATTGATTTAATAAATGAATCTTATTAGCATAAATATTAACGTCAATGTCAGGTTGTTAACAAAATCTTCATAACTACTTAATTTATATATTAATAAAATTAATTACAGTATTATATAATTCAATATATCTCATAGAAACTGTGTATTCAATGTAAATCCTTCACTATTCATTACATTCCCATATCCAACTTCCTTTGATTGCCTAATTACTTCAAGCAGATCATAACTGAATATCAAATGTTCAAACTATTAATTCCTCAACTTCCTGTGAATTTAACCATCGAATTATTAATCTTCTTCTCTAATCTATCATAAATAGTAACATCAAATTTACTCACGAAACGTCTATGATTTTATTTAAAAATTAGAATTAAATTATTTAAAAAAATAATTCAATGATATAAACGTAGAATCATGCATCGGTTTTGAATTTTTTTATTTTAATAAAAAAAATAGCGAAGTTTATTTAAAAAAATATATTTTTTCCAAAATATTTCCATGGATTGTGAAAAGCCTCTCAATTAATTTTTTAAATAAATAATTTTCAGCATTCATTCCGATTCTAAAAGAAGAAGAAGAAGAAGAAGATAAAAAAGATAATTGCATTATTTTTCCATTTTAATAATTTTCAACGATAAATTTTTTTTCACACAAAATATAGAATATCCATCATTGATCGTGATAAGTTTTCCCCTGCAACGTGATGTAACAATAAAGTGAACGACGTTCTGGCGAAGAAAAATGTGTCGTGGCTGGTTTTTGGCTTCCGGAGTCCCTGACCTTGAAAAGTCGCACTGCGAACTTGTCGCGCGGAATATCGATCTTCACCGACCTCCACTTCCGTTGCTTGCCAAACCCCTGTGCCCCGTTACACGATCAATCAATTTCAAAGTTTTGGATAACGATATATCATTGAAAAAAATTTAATACGATGAGATTTTTGCATCATAGAATACTTACAAAATTACATTCTGAAACAATTGTTTTAAATTGTTTTAAAATTATTACAATTTTGAATTTTTATTTGTATTCTTTTCTTTCGTTCAATTCTTTTTTTTTTTCAATATTTTTTTCAACATCGTAAAATTGATTTTTAAATTATTTTTTTACCCGTGATACGTGATGGAATTAGATTTTGTGACACAAAATAGAACTGAACAGGAAATTCTTTAAATTACCATTAAGTGATCATTGAATTCTAAATTCGAATAAGAAATGGTATGGCGTTTTCTTGAGACGATACTATACGAGTAATTGAAATTAACGAATTTAACAACGGCCAACAAGATACTTCTCTCTCCGAATAATTAAGTTTAAAATTAATAAAATTTGTTAAGATCGGTGATTCTAATCTGTTTAATAATTAGAATGATTCGAGGGATGCCGAACTGGTGTAACATAATTGAAGTAATCGAAGGATTTTGTGTATCTTGTGTAACTTAATCGACGGAGACCCGCGCGAGGATAATGTAATTATCAACATGTGGTTAATGGAAGATGATAGGCTAAAAAGCCTATTAAATTCGATTTTAGAATTATGCTGTATATGGATCCAACGTCTTAAAGTAATTAACTTTACGATAAGAAGTTAAACAGAGATTATTCCAAATCTATGAGTTCATTTAAATATTTTATAATTTTAATTTTTTTTATTCAAATTTAATATTTATCTTAATTATTTTTATATTGTAAAAGCAAAATTTTAAGTGTAATTGATAAAAATATAATTTTATAATTGTTCCCTTATACAATTTATGATACTTAATCTGGTTAAATGATCGATTATCACTAATAGAATAGAATATTGAAAAAATATATTATTTAATCAATAAATGAAATGATAACAATGAAAAGTAAGTTAAAAGTTTTTCTAGATATATCGATCTTCAACTTCATCCTAGTTCTGGAATACTGATCGAAACTTGGCGGAATTTTGTATCCCTTTTCAATTAATAAAAAAAAAAAAAAATAGAACAGATAAAGAAACACACCGCTGTTTCTATTTAATTTTTGGCTACGTGCCTTTTCAATCATCCCCATCGTTGGAAAGAAGACAAAGTTTCTAAAAGGTGCGACAAAAATGATTGAATGAAAATTAATAAAAACGATAAGTTACTTTTAGAATTAAAAAATTTATGGATTACTATATACTTATTAATTGTCATTGTTTTTCACGATTAAGAATTTTTTCGAAGATCAAGAAATTTCCAGATTAGAAAGTTTTCGGAAATTAAAAATGTTTCGCACGAAGAATTTCGAAAGTGTAAATGGTTTATCTTATCACTTTACATCCCATTTTCTAAACAGTAATCGACATATTACCCATCGACTTAGAAGAGTAATTAAAGTTAAACTGAAATCTTGAGAACTTGGAACGAAATTTTGCAGATGAAACTCATAGATTAAGTTCTCGTATGGAAAAGTAAAATAAAAGAATCATAAAATTATAATTTCTAAATTTTCGAACTTCGATCTCAACAATTCCAAGTCTTAAATCATTTTGAACGTGAAGATAAAACAATCAACATTGCTCGATGTGATATTTATTTAAAATGAAGAAAAGAAGAAAGCATCGAATCACGATATCAGAATTTATTAAATAAAAATTATTAATAAGAAAATTTGAACAATTTCAATTATCAATTTAATGTAAGACCGACACGATCCGATTAAGTAATTTAATTTCTACAAACTGGAAAATTCCTCAACTCGGCAATTCTCAATCTAAAATTCGATAAATTTCCTTTTCTTTCGGATCGTGGTATTTAATCGACCGAGATGGGCTCGAATAGAAAACGACGTTGAAAGGAAAATTCTGGGTGAACAGGCACGCGTGACGTTAAAAGCAGGATTTCCTTGAAAATCGGTGCAAGGATCGATGGGATACTATCCCATAATAGGAGCTGGAAGAAACAGCGACGCACAATGGCCACGGATTTTTCGAGCGGATGATACGCCGTGTACTTTGTGCAAAAGTTTTCTTTGTTCCCTGTTGGCAAGGGCATTCATCGAACGACTATCGTTCGTGGAACGAACTGGTACTTGGGCGAAATTGTGACTTTCCAAGATACACGAACGGTTTTTCCCCTGGCCCTCTTCTCGTACCATCGTAGCTTCGGGACTAAGCGAGCATCCCTTCATCCAATTCAATCATTGTAAAACTTACATTGTTTTTCCTTCGATTCTTATTTTGTTCATTCTCTTTAAGATCATATTTTTATTAGGAAAAATTCCTTTTTATCGATTAATGATAGAAATATATATATATATATATTTTTAAGGAAAACATAATACGATAAAATTTAATTAAATTATTATGTCACTTTTAGCTTTATGCATATTGTTTTAATTTCAATTATTACCTTTTACAATAAAGTAATCAAACACGAATTATTTGACTTTACGTTTTCCACCACACGTTTCATCGTATTTCTTCATAATGAAATATTTGCAAAAAGATACTCGCGCTTGAAAAACATGATCTCGTATAATCTCGCTTCTGGATTATTTAAAATAAAAATTACAAAGAAAAAGCAAGATTAAAAAAAAAAAAAATATCCTCAATCTAAAAGTTTCCCCTCGTTTAATCGTTAAAAATACATAATCTGGGGGTATCAGTTCACTTATGGAAGAAGAAAGAATGTCACGATATCGATATAGTTTTCTTCGAGGATGCAATTAATCGTTCTCGATCCCCGCAATATCCAGGTGGATTTAATTGGCGATTCCTCGAGTCACGAAATCGAGGCCGGCTCGAACGATTGTTCGCCCCGGGATGCTTAAAGCTTAATGATATTTGCGCGGCGATTAATCGCAGGCTGGCTCGTTTCGGGAACAA